CTATCCTAGGTAGCTACAGACACCCTATCCTTGGTAGCTACAGACACCCTATCCTAGGTAGCTACAGACACTTTATCCTTGGTAGCTACAGACACTCTATCCTAGGTAGCTACAGACACTCTATCCTTGGTAGCTACAGACACTCTATCCTTGGTAGCTACAGACACCCTATCCTAGGTAGGTACAGACACTCTATCCTTGGTAGCTACAGACACCCTATCCTAGGTAGGTACAGACACCCTATCCTTGGTACCTACAGACACTCTAACCTTGGTAGCTACATCTGACTGACACCTGTGTTAACATAATAAGCCCGGCTGCAGTCAGTGCATCGAGGCACTTCAGTGGCACGCAGTAGGTGTGGTACACAGGTAGGACTACCTGTTCGTCAAATGGATAGGATAAATACTAAGGTCTTGACTGGTCAGGGATAAATAAGAGATGAGGAACACAAGGTGTTCAATCAATTGCAGTTCGAGTCATCCAAGGTTACTTTACAAAGAATGTATAAGAGCATGGTCAGATCATCAGTTATGGCGAATTAAGTATTCCACCTACAGTTGTGGGGTCGCACAGCGTTACACGATGTGTGGTGTGCGCACGATGTGTGCACGATGGGCGAACGATAAAAAGCTGAACGATCATTGCTTGCGCACGATGGACGGACGTTGTGCGATAACAATCGTGGTTTGTGTAAATTGAGGAATGCCTTAACAATTTATACGGTTTCGTGTTTAAACATATAAACTTGATGTTTACGTATGTTTCTATATTCTAGCAACATCTATAAACTTATCTTTCTGTCTATATATTCTTATAATTAGGAATTGTGTTTTCTGTGTTTCTAAACAAACTTAATCGACACATGTAAAATTACAACACAATCCCGTATACAGGTAAACATAACCACTTTGTACATGTACCTGGACCGTAGTTTTCTCCCCGCCGGGGGCATTTACGTAACTCGTCGGGTAAGGCCGGATGTGTGAAAATCCAGGTGAAGGGGAGCTATAGGCAAACGAATGCAAATAACAAATACTATTCATTATCAAACGGTATCGCATATCAGCTCTGTGTGTCAGGCACTGGTAAGGTAAAACTCTGGACACTCATAAAATTGTTATTTACCTGTTCTGTTACCTTGGAGCCAAACCCATTCTTGACAGCCTAACGGTCGCTGTAATACTGTGTAACACGCATTGTGAAATTGTATAATCTTGATTATTGTGATAAGAAATTACAGATATATACACAGTGTACATTATCGCATACAAGCCTTCCGTATTTTTGTCATTTCGTGATTTTGATCTACAAATGATACCAAATCGCACAGTTGTGCTGAGGGAAGTGCACAACGGGGCGAACGATTGCTAAATCGCACAGTTGTGCGCACCATGTGTGAACGATGTGCGGACGGTGTGTCAACGATGTATGCACGGTGTGCGCACGATATTTTTGGTTCGTTGTGCGGTCCCACAACTGTAGTATGATAGTTGTAACATCTTGGTGTTGTTGTTGTCATAGGGATACAGTACAAAGAAGTTGTCTGACCCAAAAAATACATGTATGGTACACCTGTGGCATCATGTGTTTTTCAGATGCTTGCGTGGCAGATTTCAATTGTACATGGGATTACAGTTGCCTTCTATCTTCGTGCTAGAAGGAATTTCCCTTAAGCTCAATCAGTAGAGTGTTGGACCGGGAAGCTTGGGGTCGCTGGTTCTATCCCTGGTGGAAGCACACTATTATCTTTCCTGATACAATTGTATTTAAGTTGGATATCAAAGGGGAAGAACCTATTGTGTACATGACACACATGGCAGCTCCTGTTATGGAACCTGATTCTCTGCCTGTGGACATTGATGCTAGTGTCTGTTGTAGGGCTACAATACATTAACTGTCTCTCATGTCTTCTTGTGGATTATTGGCTCTGCCCTTCCCTGTACATTTCTACAAACCAAATCTCTGTCTGTGACAGCTAAAGGGCAGTCATGGTCACTCATACACTTGACTGTCTGCATGCCCGCTGATCTATGTGACACATGGAAACTAGCTGTGTCTACCCAGAATTAATGGGTTGGCTATTGTGAAGTATATCACATATATTATCTAACAATACAGTAAATCCAGGGTTGCCAACCTCTTAGGGAGTCCAGTGTGGGAGATCTCCCTCCACTGGGTTTTACAATGTGTGAGACTTTTGATGGCGTCGCGGCGTAACGTCGTTTTGGGTGTTAAGATAACATTACAAATGTATCAAACAAATCCTGGCTTTCTCTGACTACTATAACATCTGCATTGTTGATATTTTCACTTCAAGATTTTTTTAGGAAAATAAAACAAAACATTTTTTGCAGATATATAAAAGATTTTTATTTATCACACAAAAAAAACTGACATCAGAAATGCAACACATTATATAATCAAAGGCCTTTCTTGTAACGATTCCACCCTTGGCTAGAACAGGTACCAGTCTTTTTTTCTGTATTTCCATGACCTGTTAAAAAAATAACAGTTCATATCAAAAGTAAGAACTTTACCATAGTAACATGAAAAAGTTCATAACATGAAAGATAAAAAAATATATGATTATTTAACAGTGGAAAAATATTTTACAATTACTTCTGGCTACTATCCTAAGCAACAAATAACAGTTAGACCCTTAGCATTTATACCACATTTGCAATCCGATTTGTTGCATGATTATGTATTTGACTACCTACGTAATATGTCTATCCAACATGCCAAAGCACTTCCCGAAACTCGTTATGTTTTCATCGCATCAGATTAAAAATTGTTTATTACTACAAGTCTCAGGTGTGTTAAATCATATACGCCACTTTACTGCAAAAAATAACTTCAAACTTTTCATCAGCCATTAGCTACTGTCTGTTCGTGATTCAATAATCTTTTTCTCTTAATATTTGTAAAGGCCCGGCCTAAAAACAATCTCCTAATGCACGACGATATTATTAGTAAAATTTTCTTTTTCTGTGCGATAGGTACATTCAATATTAAGTTTACGAGTGAAAACAACTTTATTGATTGATAGGTTTTACGTCCGCTTCACTACCGAGTAGTTTGGTTATCCAGCAGACGATTGTGAAAACAACTCACCTTATGATATATTTACATTCGTTCCCACCGGATGTAAAGCGACACCTCGCGTCAGCTCACTTCCAAAGCACAACGTTGCAATAAGAGTTATTCCCCTTAGTACGACCGAAGCTAAAATTTGCCGATTTATGGCTTCGCGTGGGTAGAGGGAGAATATTTTCGAATGCGTGAGATGTATGGCTCACGTGGCGTGAGACATGATTATGCGTGAGTAAGGTCGTCTCTGCGTGACGAATGCGTGAGATTTTGTCTCACGCCGTGAGAGTTGGCAACCCTGTAAATCTTGTATATATTCTTGATATTTTGTCTAAGTTTCCTAAGTTTAAGAAGGTTTAATCAGGGTATTTTGGGGAAATGGAACCAGAATTCAAAATAATAAGGAATTGTTATATCCACTTATGATTTGGAATTGTCCTCCACAATTTTTTTGTTGAAAAAGGTGGGGTTATTGTTTTTTGCTGTCAGTCCCTCTACCTGTATCACAATGTTTTCTGGTCAGTAACTTTCCTGAATATTGACAGATTTTAGTAAGACTTCGGTTGTACTTATTAATGGCGATATAACCAAGTTAAAAAGATAAGTAGGATCTATATATTTAAATGTAACTAACATTACTTTAATTATGTTCAGACATTCGTTTGTGGAACTGCACCAATTTTGGTGTAGGTTTGAAATTCAATGATGCTAATTCCCAGGTCAAGTTTGGAGATTACTCTTTTAATGATGTCACATGTACTTAAACAAATTAACACTTGTTTTTATTATGTTTGATAGAAAACAGGTTGTGATTATATTTGTGATAAAAGTGTCACAACATCACAACAACTGAAAGTGTTAGTCATCTTATGTAGTTATGTCATATAAATAGTGACGATTTTTATTTGACAGGAAGTGGAGAGGGAGATATCCTTTAGGACAGAGTCAGGACTGTACTATTCTTACTACAAACAACTGGTCCATGCTTCCTCCATAACTCAAGGTAAGGACAGCGCCCCTAGCCTCCCACATACCTCAGCATTTCAAAAATTAAGATAGCGTCTCTTGCATCTAGTAATTTAGAGATGTATTTCACATCATACATTTTATCAACACCATTAAAAGATATATTGTATTTACAACATTTAGATACATTTAGATACATTTCCCTGTGTGTAAAGGCCCGGTCACAACCCACCGTGCATGTTTTTAGTTTGTACGTTTTTTGGGGAGGCCACGGCCACCACGTTTTTCTGGGTACGGGGGGGGGGGGGCAAGAGCAGGGAGAGAGTAGTACGTCAACGCATTTCATTCGCACAGTTGGGCAAGGTGTAAGTACGTGGCCTTGCCGTGAGCGGTTGCCTGCATCGTACAGAGACCGTACTTACACGTGCGGCTCACGTACGGTGTCCTTATAAATTACTCACTTGCATGTTGTAAGTGCATGGAAGTGCGATGAACGTGATTTTTTCCGCCCAATGTCACTCGGCTTTTATATATACTGCCGAAATCATTGCGCACAACATGTGTTGTAAGTGCGGAGCACGTGCTTACTCGGTACGGTCCACGTCAGTTCTGCGTGCTCATTGGACAGTAGAACTGGGGAAGTGCCGGGTAAGCACAGACCACGCACTTATCACGTGCGCAGCATGCACGTTCTAAGTGCGCCGTCCGTAGAGCAAGTGCCCGTTGGCAAAAATAAAAAATACTTATGGAGTCAGTGCGTTGTGCACTCATTGCCTGTAGAAGGCACGCGCGTCACCCGTACTTGGGTGAATCATCCGTAGCCAGACCGCATCCTGAACGCAGCGAAAGTTCCTCATGCACTAAAAGTGCTACGGTGTGTCTGCATGCTCCCAAATCCGTACTGAGGCGGTACTCACCACGTACGGATCCCCAAATTTGACCCACGTTTTTGCAAGTAGACAGCACGCACTTGCAAGTACGGCGGGTTGGGACCACAGCTTAAGATAGAGCTGCCCAGGGTAAGGAGGGGTGTAGGAAATTTGATATTATACCCCATTTCACGTGACGTGACGTCACAATGGCTCAACAAGGGCGTGATGTCGCAAATTCGGAACCCTTTGATGCCGAAATGCGGAAAAGGCAAAATGATAAATTAAAACCTTAGTAAAACCAGTATTAATAAGAAATGTGTTATGCATTCTACCAAACAACCATATGATAGGCAAATTGAGCCAATACCGTGTACTGAAAAAAAAAAAAAAAAAGGTTAAAACATTTTACGATATATTTACTGTAAACGTTAGAAAGATGTGATTATTTTTTTTGCACAAACTTTGTTTGCAAATATGGGGTATGCAAAATCTGGCTGACTGATTTGTATTCGTCTAAAAAGCTCTGGGGAAAATTGATATTTTCAGAATGCTGGCAGGTCCAAACGTATTTTCATGGTTTCTGAACATATTCTGGTGGTGGGGATGAGAGAAACAATACTTTTTCATGCCCAAGGGTGTAGGCTAGGGAAATTCCACCCACAGGATTTTCGAATTTGGCAAAACCCTCGGCTTTCAAAATGGTGGCAGGTCCAAACGCATTTTCATGGTTTCTGATCATGAGCTTATTCTGGTTGTTGGAATGAGAGAAAAATACTCTTTCATGCTCAAGGGTGTACAGATGGGAAATTCCACCCTTGGAATTTCCCTGCCATACACCCATGGTCATGAAAGAGTCTTATAATATTGACACCATCTAGATACATCTATATTGACACCATTTAGATACATTTATATTGACACCATCTAGATACATTTATATTGACAACACTTGATACATTTATATTAATTGACACTATTTAGATACATTTATATTGACACCATCTGGATACATTTGTATTTACACCATCTAGATACATTTATATTGACAACACTTAGATACATTTATATTAATTGACACTATTTAGATACATTTATTATTGACACCATTTAGATACAGTTATATTGACACTATTTAGATTCATTTATATTTACAACATTTAGATACGTATTGTTGTTTAGATACATTTATACTGACACCATTGAGATACATATATATTTACTATATTTAGATTCATTTATATTTACAACTTTTAGATACATATATATTTACTATATTTAGATACATTTATATTTACAACATTTAGATACATATTGTTGTTTAGATACATTTATATTGACACCATTGAGATACATATATATTTACTATATTTAGATTCATTTATATTTACAACATTTAGATACATATTGTTGTTTAGATACATTTGTATTGAAACCATTGAGATACATATATATTTACTATATTTAGATACATTTATATTTACAACATTTAGATACATATTGCTGTTGAGATACATTTATATTTACTATATTTAGATTCATTTATATTTACAACTTTTAGATACATATTGTTGTTTATATACATTTATATTGACACCATTGAGATACATATATATTTACTATATTTAGATACATTTATATTTACAACATTTAGATACATTTATATTAACAACATTTAGATATATTTACAACATTTACTTAGAAACATTTATATTTACATTTACTTAGATAAATTTATATTTACAACATTTAGATACATTTATATTTACAACATTTAGATACATTTATATTAACAACATCTAGATACATTTATAATGACACCATCTGGATACATTTGTATTTACACCATCTAGATACATTTATATTGACAACATTTAGATTCATTTATATTAATTGACACTATTTAGATACATTTATATTGAAACCATTTAGATACAGTTATATTGACACTATTTAGATTCATTTATATTTACAACATTTAGATTCATTTATATTTACAACATTTAGATACATTTATATTGACAACATCTAGATACATTTATATTAATTGACACTATTTAGATGCATTTATATTTACACCATCTTGATACATTTATATTTACAACATTTAGATACATATTGCTGTTGAGATACATTTATATTTACTATATTTAGATTCATTTATATTTACAACTTTTAGATACATATTGTTGTTTATATACATTTATATTGACACCATTGAGATACATATATATTTACTATATTTAGATACATTTATATTTACAACATTTAGATACATTTATATTAACAACATTTAGATATATTTACAACATTTACTTAGAAACATTTATATTTACATTTACTTAGATAAATTTATATTTACAACATTTAGATACATTTATATTTACAACATTTAGATACATTTATATTGACACCATTTAGATACATTTATATTTACAACATTTAGATACATTTATATTGACAACATTTAGATACATTTATATTTACAACATTTAGATACATTTATATTGACAACATTTAGATACATTTATATTTACAACATTTAGATACATTTATATTGACAACATTTAGATACATTTATATTTACAACATTTAGATACATTTATATTGACACCATTTAGATACATTTATATTTACAACATTTAGATACATTTATATTGACACCATTTAGATACATTTATATTTACAACATTTAGATACATTTATATTTACAACATTTAGATACATTTATATTTACAACATTTAGATACATTTATATTGACACCATTTAGATACATTTATATTTACAACATTTAGATACATTTATATTTACAACATTTAGATACATATCGTCATATTTTTGTTTAGAACCATTGTAAGAGGCAGACATAAAAGGAGGCACTGCTAATGAAATGCTTTGTTTTTAGTTCTATCAGTTCTACAGACTGTTTTCTGTGTTTATACACTGCTGTGTGATCTCACTGTATCACAGTAACACTGCAGCAGACATTTCTATAGGATTTCTCAGTTTGCCGATGCTCAAGATATGATGGCAGTCCATCACTCTATCTCAATGATCTGGCAGAAAGGTGTGCTAGCTTTTTAATTAAGACCAATCCTCCGGAGATAATATCATTTTCCAAAACGATATGTGTGGCAATACCTGATAGTAACTGTAGGACATCATTGGACGGGAACTTACCAACAGGTAGCGGCCAGTATGTTATAGTTCTGTGTTCATTAGTGAATTAGTTCATTAATTATTATTTTTATATACATTTAATAACCCAGGCATGCATGCATCATTCGTGGGTCGTCTGGGTATGGGCTGCCCCAGCTACGAACTACAATACATGAAACACATTCTATTTATTTTTCTTCACAAATCAACACTTGTTGATTTCTTTCTCTCTCACTTTTTCACACTCCCATATTGTAATTTCTTCTTTTTTACCTCACTTTTTTACAATCTTGTGTAACCCCTCCTCACACGGTGGTAACAAAAACAAAAATAATAATACAGAACTTTTGTCCGGTTCCCGTGTTCCTTAGCTCCTAGATCTAGAGCATTTAACAGCATCTTAACAGGGAAAATCCTGGAATTTGAGAGCAGTGGGCCATTTTTAGCCATTTTCAGTCAATATTCAAATTAAGAGGGGCCATTCTATGTTTGATTATAAGAAAATTGGAACATTGAGAGGCCAATTTCAGTTTTGAGCCCCATATCATTTATATTGACAAATATATTGACACCATCTGGATACATTTATATTGACACCAATACCTTTTCGAAGATTATCCCTGTAACCTATCCCTGTAACCGCTGTGTGCTGGTTGGTAGACATGGGTATGACTGTTTGCATCAGGGTGGAGGGGTGTGTTGGACCATTAAAGGGGGTCTTAATTTGGGCAGACCTTGTTGAAGTTATTGTCTGTATCAAATATATCAAATACATCGTTATATGTTTGTATGAAATTAAAATAAAGAGCCGTTGGAGAGATACTTTCAGGTAGTCGGCTTTGTTACCCTTTGCCATGCGTGGTTCAGTATTTGTTGCTTTTCTGTCATCTTTTCCATGGTTTAGAACATTCCTTGGCCAAAGGAATTCATTGTTTTATCAATGAGCGGTTTGACTCTCGTGGGACAGCAGGAAGACAACCTTTTAAGATTTTGAGCAAGTTTAGTTAT